AAAATAAATAAAATAGTTTCTTTAAAAAATGATAAAATTGACCACATTAAAAATAAGATCTTCAGTCCATCAAAAGGTATCATACAGAAGATGGAATTTGTTAAAAAATATCTAATTCTATATCCAACAAAGGACTAATATTTAGAATATATTTTTAAAAGCTCTTACAATCCAATAAAAGAATGACTTCATAGTAAAAAGAGTAGCATCAGGCTGGGGATTTAGCTCAGTGGTTCCACCACCTGCCTTCTGCAAGGTCCCAAGTTCAATCCCCTATATCCCCCCCCCCAACAAATAGAGTAGCATGGCCAGGGAGGTAGCTCAGCGGTGCAGCGCCTGCCTGGCAAACACGAGGCCCTGAGTTAGATTCCCAGCTACCCACCCCCACCAAAAAAAGAATAGCATGGAACTTAATAAAAGAGACCCAAATATTCAACAAACATGTAAAAGTTTGATTTCACCCCTACTTGGGGAAATGTAAAGGAAAACCATGATGAGATACCATTATCTATCAGACTGGCAAGAAGTTAACTTCCAATATCAAGTACTGGCAAGAATACAGAGCAAGAGGAACACTCAGTCCTGTTGCTGGGACCTTTTACAATTACTTTTGGAAAGCAATCTGACATTACCTAGTGAAGCTGAAGATAACATATCCCATAATCTATCAAGCCCTAGGTACACTCTACAGAAATGTGTAGACATATTCACTGGGACAACTGTATAGAGTTCATATTACTATTACTTATATTAGTGCCAGATTTAAACAGGTCAAACGTCAGTCATCAAATGGATAAATGTTCTGTGGCATATTCATACAATGGAATTCTAAACACTAACAAAAACAAAGAAACTACAAGTACACACAACATGGCTGAATATACAAAATGTCAGGTTGAACAAAGAAAGAATTAAAAGAATACATTGTGATTGCATTTATTTAAAGTTCAAAACTAAGTCAACTACAGTACACTATTTAGTGACAACTGGTATCAAAACCATAAAGAAAAACAAAGAACTGCTTAACAACTTTTAACATTTCTAGGGTGCTAGCCATAAGTTTTTTAACCTGAGAGGTTGTTACACAGGAGTTTATAGTTGTTAAAATGAGCACTGTTATGTATCTGTGTTCATTATACAATAAGCTTTTTCAAATGAAAAGTTTCTGAGATTGACGGAGTAGATATTCACTTACTAAATTTGCTATTAACATTTTTAAATATATCTACAAATGAAACCATAAGCTGTATCGCATTACCACCTGACATAGCTAATGTGTGGCTAGCTTCCTGTTTTACCAGTTATTAACTATGCAGCCTTGGGTAATTTAACCTTTCTGAGCTTCAGTTTCTTTTTTTTTGGTACCGGGGATCAAACTCGGGTCCTTGCGCTTGCGCAGCAGGCAGGGAAACCACTGAGCTAAATCCCCGGCCCTCTGAGCTTCAGTTTCTATAAAATGAGCATAGCAATAACAGTATTAATTTCTGAGTTATGAGAAGAAAATGAAATACCTATATAAGTACTTTAAACAGTGTCCAGCATGTAGTGAATACTATGTATAACCATCAAATATAATTTAATGTTTAGATAAATGCTACACATGAAGTAATCAATTTCATCAAAGTCAAGGTATTTTCATTAATTAAAGGAGAACATTCCTATAACCACAATACTAACTCATGCACATAAGACACTGCGTATCTTTCACACTTACCATCCTGTGACACCTCCAATTAACAGCTGGGTCGCCACGCTATACTTTTCAGCAGAGGGTCCAGATTCTTGCCCAAATATCTTGCGCCACCATGGCTGTTTTTTAGCAAATTCTGCAAGGTCCAGTGCCTCAAACTTTCCCTCAAAGTTTCCTAGAAGAATTAAGATATTAATAAGAAAACATTTGCTTTTGTAATGAATCACTATCATTCCTAACTAGATTAAAAGTTTTTAAAGAAACAGAAGTATTTGTAATACAGATTCTCCAAATATAATTCTATTTTAGTAGTAAATTAACTCTGAAACAAAACTACAAAACACAGAAACTGAAGATGCCCTAAATTAATGGGCAGAGATACCATGTTTATATTATGCAAGACTCAATGTTTTTAAGATGTTTATTCTGTCTATACTGATCTATAGATTTGAGAAAATCTCAATAAAAAAACAGGTTTCTACTTAACTGACAAGCTGGTTCTAAAATTTGTTTGAAAGTGCAAAGGAATTAGCGTTCCGTTCCAGTTACTACGGCTATACAACAAATCACCCCCAAACTTCATTGAACAAAACCATGCTATCAGATTCTGTGGATCAGGAATTCAGCCATAGCATTAATGCCTGACTCTGTTTCATCAAGTCTGAGTCTTTCGCTGGTAAACTTACACTGGCTGGAAATTTTACAGCTAGAAAACTCTGCAATCATCTGAAAACTCTACAGTCACATATGCAGGCTGCCTGCTTGCAGAGATCAGACTGGGCTTCCTTACAGCATGGTGGCTGGGTTCAAGAGGCGACTGTCTCCAGTGAGGGGAAAACCAAGGGTCAGGCAGAAGCTGTATTACAATTTAAACCTTAGCCTTGGAAGCCAGTCAGTGCTACTTGCACTGTATTCTGCTCAGGAGTCGCAAACTCCCACCCAGATTCAGGACAAGGGAAAACATACTCCACTTCTTAGTGGGAGCAGTACCAAAGTCACTCTGAAAAAACAATACAATGTGGAAAGGGAGGCAGTGCTGCAATCATTTGGGAAAACACACTCTCCCACAATAATCTTGGAGGGAAAAAGAATAAAGTTTAAGAAATTTCAAGATTTATTATAAAGTTACAGTACAATACACAGCTAACTAATTTCAAGAATATAAAGCTATGGTATTCAACATACCATTGAATTGACCTAAGGATACACAAATACATCAGTGGAAGAAAATACAGAGTCCAGAAATAGATTCACACACGCTGTCATTTGCTTTTTAATAACAAGGCACCAAGGTAATTCAATGGGGAAAAGCATGTCTTTCCAACCAATGGTGTTAGAAGTAATCTTTATTCGTACTTAACAAAATGGTCCTTAAGCTCTGCCTTATACCATACACCAAACCATAATTCAAGAGAGATTACAGATCTCAATTTAGCAGAACCACAAAACAGATGATTAAGAAAGTGGATCTTCTATGGCCTAACAAGTAATACAACAAAACATTACTGCTATGTTGAAGAAATGATCACTGAAAACAAAAAGGAGTTTTCAGTTTTGTTTGTAATGTAATTTTACCAAGCGCCTTAGCTGAATAGGTGGCTACAGTCATAAGGGAGATTAAATCAGAGAGCCATGTGCTTCACCCCATTTCATTCAGTCATTCATACGACTCCATTAGGACCTACAGTAGCTGAGTCATTAGCCCTGCTTATGGACTCCTGAAATCAATGACCAGTGCTCTTCTTGCTCATTATGATAAGGGGTGAAATTCATGTCAGGCTCAAAACTTCACACAACTACTTGATGAAGCTATACACTAAGTAAATGAGAGCAATCTGCCCCACAGGAAAATAAAGATCATTATTTCACATTCCAACTCCTTAGAATCACCTAAATTTAGTGGTGTGCTTATAAATGTTTAACAACTGGCTCTGGTTGGAGGCTGATTTAGGGTGTATTCATACACCCTGAGGGTGACATCACTGAACTGTGATATCACTAAAACCTGAGTCAGGGAGGGATGCAAAGTAGTACCCGATTCTATGGTATTTCTTCCACAGATAAAATAGGTAAAAATAACGTTAAGAACATAGATAATAGCCAGGCGTGGTGGCGCCTGCCTGTGATCCCAGCACTCGGGAGGCTGAGGCAGGAGAATGGCAGCGAGCTCGAGGGCAGCCTGGGCTACACTGTGAGTTCAGGGCCTGCCTGAACTACAAGGCGAGACCGTGTCTCAAAAACGAAACAAAAAGAACATAGATAACAGTAAAACAAGTAAATAATTAGGAAGTTTCGAGGATTTTCACTCTTTGTTTTTAACGCAATTTAAGGCTAAGTTTATATAACTGAATTGTGTGTGTGTGTGTGTGTGTGTGTGGTACTGGGGATCGAACTCAGAACCTTGCGCTTAACAGGCAGGTGCAGCGCCACTGAGCTTTATCCCGGCCCAAGGTTATAACTGAATTTTCGATGAGGGTTCAGTTTGGCAATCAGATCCTGTGAACCAGTACTGAATTAAACACACCCTAAGAAAAATATGGTACTAAGCATAACTTAAGGACGTGCTCCTCCCCGAATTAAATTATAGATCTTTCTTTGACTAAGATTAAAAAGACTGCCTAGAAAGCATGAGGTCTTGGGTTCGATTCCCAGTACCAAAAAAAGAGACTATTTCAATGTTCTGTCCCATAAAAGCTACTTTTTTCAAAATCACCAATAATGCTGTTAGGGAGGTGCCAATGAGAATGACGCCTACTAGGCGTTACAAAGGAACGTTCAGGGAGACGGGGACAAAGAAGCAGACTCAAGGAGCCAGAGAACTGGGACGCGACGTCTGGACTCTGCGGCTAGGGGCGGCGCCAGAGGCTGGAACAAGTCGAGCGCTGAGACCAAGTCTTTTAGACCAGTTCAGGCTCGGCCCAGCGCGTGCCCGCGGCCGGACGCCGGGCGCCCTGTGCGCCCCTGTTCCTCCGGGGCTCTCCAGGCCCCACTGCAGGGGCCGACAGGCGCGGAGGCCCCGTTTCCGGGGGGCCGGCGGCTCTCACGGCGCCATCCGTGCGCGCGCTCTTACCTTGACTGGACGCGGCCATTTCGGCGAGCTCCTCTCGCGAGGCCACTCGCGCAGGCTCGTCGCGGCCGGACGCAGGGTGGCGCACCGCTTTGGCCGCCAGCTGGCTTCCGGCACGTGAGACAGAAGTTTCCATTCCCAGGCCGGGGGCGGAAGAGGACGGGCGGGGCGCGCGGGGGTGGCTCCCCGCCCCTTCAGCAGCTGTGTCGTAAAATTCAACCTTCGAGGTGACAGATCCCAGGGCCCGGCCCTGCTGACTGCCAGAGCCGCGCGTGCGCAATTCGGCTCTGCCTGGTTAAGCGTACGTAACCGGAAAGTGCGATGTAGTGGCACAGTCCTGTAATCCCAGAGACCTGGGAGGCAAAGGCAGAGGCAGGAGGATTGTAAATTCCGGCCTACCCTGGGCAAGTCAGCAATTTAGCAGGTACCCTGTCTCAAAACAAGAATAAAAAGTCTGTGGCAACTCTGGGTTACATCACCAATACCACAGATCCAAAGCCTTTTTTAGTTGTGGAAAACATAATCTTAAAACATTGAAATAAAAATAAACTCATGTTTTATCATTATTTTTTTACCCAGTATAGGGGATCAAACTCAGGACCTTGCGCTTGCCAGGCAGGCATGACGCCACTGAGCTAAATCCCCAGACATAATTATTTCTCACTGTCCTTTCAGTTTATTTTCACTGCTGTGTTTAGGCCAAATGAGTGTGGTCTTAGGCTAGCCATCTAACTTCTGTGCCTGGTTGCGTTATCTATGGCCTTTTAAAAAATTAAGTTTATTGGTACATTGTAGATACACATAATGATCACATTCATCATAGAGAATTTGTACGTGTACATGTTATATCTTGTACAAGATGTATATCTTTATTTCCCATTCCTCTCCCCTCTTCAACCCCTCTTCCTCTCCTTATTTAACAAAAGCTTTGTTTCCATTTTTTTCTTCTTTTCTCGTTTTTATCTTTTCCCTTCCTCCCCCCTCCCTAGTTCCCCTTCCCATTTGAATATTTTCTTCATATTTCACAATATCTATTGTACATTTTGGTCCTTATTTATGCTTTCAGTTTCTCACACCAGAGAAACAATGCAATATTTACACATGTGTGTCCGATTTATTTCACTTGCAAATATGGTCTCAAGGTGCATACATTTACCTAGAAATCTTTCAAGTTTATCCTCCTTTATGGCTGAGTAGTACTCCATTGTATAAAAAAAACACATCTTCTTTATCCATCAGTTGATGGGCATTTGGGTGGCTTCCAAGATTTAGCTATTACAAATTGTGCTGTTGTAAACATGAATGTGCATATATCGCTGTGGTATGATTCTTTTAATTCTTTGAGGAAAATGCCAAGAAGGGGACTAGCTGGGTCAAACTAAAACTAGAGGTTCTGTGGCCATATTGCAGTGTTGCCAAATAGCATATGTGAAGCAAACTATGGAATATTTATCACCCAATACTGTCACTGACTACTGTTCTGTATTCTCAATTAGACTCAACTTCCAGACAGCAAAATTGGGTTTTATTCATTTCTTTTGGTTCATTTTGTTCTTTTGAGACAGGGACACACTATGTAGCCCAGGGTGGCCTGGAACTCCCAATGATTCTCCTTCCTCAGCCTCCTGAGTGCTGGGGTTACAGGTGTGCACTACCACACCACCACACCTGGCTTTTATTCATTTCTAAACCATACTAATGCAGCATAGTGGTTGGGATCATTCTTGAAGCTGTGTAATCACGAGCAAGTTGTCCAATATCTTCAGGCTTCAGTTTCATTGCCCATAAAGACTACAAGAGGAGTAGTATTATTGTTACGGGCTGGGTCTGAGGGTCCCTGAGGCTGAAATAAGGAACTTAACCCATCCTTTTAAAATAAGTACACAAGTTCGCTTACTCTCGTCATGGAATATTAATGTTCAGGACAAGTCAGTAAAAGAGGCACGAGAAGGATTATTAGAGGTAGATAAAGGGTGCAAGGCTGAAGTGCTTGTGCTCAGAGAAATGAGACACACTACAGTTGGGAACTGGGGATCCTTTGCGTGTTTTGAGATGGAAATCTATGGAATTCAATAATCTATAGTCTTAGTCTTAGTCTTAGTGAGTAGGAGAGTATGACCCACCCTTAGTGAGATAATGGTCTATTCCTATGGAAAATCCCAAAAGGATGGCCCTTTCAAGAGTCAGGAGGACCATTTGCAAGTAAAAGGGAATGGGCAGACCTGTTTGCAGTTGAAAGGGAGTTGCCCTGGTTTGCTGTTTTGCAAGAAGGAAAAAAAAATGTAAATAAACCAGGCTTGTGTTCTGAAGCTGCAGTTTTTCACTGAAGTATAATTTTTAAAATTTTAATTCCTTGTCTCCTTTTCACCTAACTTTACTTCTTCTATCCAACTGATATAGGAGATAGGGCATGGCAAAGCCGGCTGGGGAAATGAGCGGGACCTGTCAATTACGAGATCCCAGAGCAACGCCAGAACCCTGCATGTAGACCTCGAGACCTCCTACGAGATGTGGACGGCATGGAAGAAGACCACCGGGCACCACAGCAAGCTCGCTATTGCGACTTCCCACAGTAGCCCACGCTGCTTTTCTCAGGTGCAGTGTGTACTTTTATTTTTGCTTTTCTGTTTTTCTTGTTCTGCCCGAGTCTGCTCCGCAGAGCTGGTCTCTCCCGTACCCCTTCATCCCTCACTTTTTGGCACCGTTTTTGGCTTGTCTCATCCAGTTCTTTGTTCGAGGCAAGAAGGACCTGGAATACTTTAGATTGGCGAGCCGTTTCTAAAGGAACTACCTGATAACACTATCTCATTATGAAGCACTTAGAACCATTTCTTACATATAATAATTGCTATTTTCTGGGTATCCCAGCGCCTGGAAGATAGGCGATCTCAGCAAGTGTTTATCAAAGAGCCTTCTTCCTGTTTGTTTCCAAGCTGTTTAACAACTCCGCTTATATCCTGTACTGGGGCCAAACATAAGCAACCTTAAAATGCACTAAGTAGCACGCCACGAAACAAACAAAAATGAAGCTGAGAAGATGATCTCTAGTCCCACTAAAGGTGAAGACCTCACCATGTAATTGTGGTGATTCATTTTCAAAGCTCACCGAACAGGCAAAATTGGAGCCAAGACTTGAAGGATGCACAGAAGTAGAACCTCCCGGAGTTACAGGTGGAGGAAACTGTTGAATTCTAGGCCCATGACTGTGCTTGGTGTTTTAAGTAAGAATGAGGAGTCCAATATGGCAACACTGAATTTAAGCCCACGGAGGGACATGGAAGAAGCATGGAGGCCATGTGGGATGCTGTAGGCCATGGTAAAGATGTAGAGTTTTCTCGAGGGAGGTCAAAAGCTATTACAGGATTCTTCACAGAAGGGCAACATGATCTGTTTTATAATTTTATAAGGTCACTAGTGGCAGCAGTGGGGGGAGCAGTGGTAGAAACAGGGTGATTAATTGGTTACTGTTGCTTGTGAAAGTGAATTTCAGAGTCTTTAACATCCAGAACTCGTACTGGTGCCACTAAGGAAGAGAGAGTAAGCTAGGAATATGAGTAGAAAGTAAACCTCCTCTTCACCTTTACCTCTCTCCCTCTCTTCCTATCCTGAAAGGTTCTCATGGTCCTCCTGCTGTCAGAAGTGAATGGGTTAAGCTTTAGCTCAGCCACCCTTTTCCTAATCTAGTTCTTCCTGTGGCTGCTTCCCACTGCCAAAAAGGAAGCAATCTTATCAGTCCTGCAGAGTGCTACTGCTGCCATCACATCCAGTGGTTAAAGTGCCCTAAAATTCTGTGCAAAACATTTGGGACTTTTGACTAAATCCTAGAAAGTTTTTTCTCCTGGGAGCTAAAGATATTTTAGAGAAGAGTTAATCTTTCACTTCTCTAATTAAACATTTTCTAGCAAGAAGAGCCATGCAGATAGAGCTCTCTATCTGCTTCTTTCTGTGCCTTTTGCCATTCAGCTTTAGTGCCACTAGAAGATACTATCTGGGTGCCATGGAACTGCCCTGGGACTATCTGCAAAGTGACCTGCTCAGTGAGCTGCACGTGCACACAAGGTAAAGTCATGTTCTATGTATCTGATAAAGGGGCACCATTATGGAGATCTGACGCTGGTTGGAAGACAGTGCAGACATCATGTTAGTATGGCTTTGCTGCTTAGTTAAACAAAAGCCTTTTTCCCGGTAAGGTGTGCATATATATATCTGTGCCATTAGCACAAATGCTACTTGCCACTTCTTTCCAGAGATCTCACCTATTAGTTCATACATTGTGCTGTCTGGGCCATTGATTCTTTTTGTCATGTGTTGCTACTCTGAAATCTAGGGAGTGGGACAGAAGGAGGATGAAGGGTAAGGAGCATATGACGGCAAACCAACTTCACTTGGCCAAGCTTCTGTAGAAATTCACCCCATATTACACACAAGTTGAATTTCTAGTTCTCTGGTGTGTGCATGTGATGTGTTTTTTATATAATATTAGCCATAACTTCAGAAGCTTTTCATCTTCTGGAGGTTACAGAAAGGTTATTAAAATAACCTTTTCAGTATTATCTATGGTCATTGGTGTATTCATATTTTTCTACATCTTCTTCAGTTTTGGATATATATTCCTAGAAGCAATGTACTGTACCTAGACTTGCTAATATATTGTTATTGAATTATATTACCGTCACTGTGATTTTATTAACTGATCTGTGCCTATAGTTATATTGTTTCTGAATCACAGCAAGAAATGCACAGAGACACAGAATTTAGGTAAAATAATAAAAGTTTTACTTATAAGCAGGCGGGACTGCCAGAAACTGGTCTGGTTAGTGTCCACACTGTGTTCTTTGTTATTCACCTTTTATACTTTTGTCAGTCATTATCTCATCCCTAGTGGTCTTTGTTAGTAAGTAAAGTTCCAATTCCTGTTTAATGGTTAGACACAGGTGGTTTCTGTTACTGATTACAGCCCTAAACACATGATAGATAAGGCACATACATCACAAGTTTGTTCAAGAATACCCACTTTGGAAATAAATAGGACACACATGTATAAATACCGAATAGTTTCTCTGGTGTGAGAAACTGAAAGTGTAAATAAGGACTAAATGTATAATAGGTCATGTGAAATAGGAT